CCTGCAGACACTCGAGGCGTTTCTCGCGCGGAATAATCGCTAAATTCCTGACGATTGCCGCGATTTCCGCCAATTCTGTGTTCAAAGTGTGCGAAAAGAGGTCTTCGTTTCTGTCCATTGTTAGAACGCGACTGAATTGGGATTCCGTGAACCCTTCCGAACGCAAACACTGTTTCCATGGCGACCGCGAATTCACAACAAATTCCCAGAATAATCAGTGCGCGGAAGGGAACGGGACGGGAACGGGATTCTGTTGTTTGTCTCGTTGCCCCGGTTTCCTCTCTTTGGGGCAAAAGTGGCGAAAAGTTTGAAAGTGACGTCATTTTTGAGTTTGTGTTTACACTTTGTGTTGACAACAAACTCGCGCTTTTGGGCCCTTTCTCTGCGCCCACGCGTGCACTGGTCGTGAGGAAAGGGCCCAAAGGGGGGATCGGAATGCGAGGAATGTGTAAACAAATGGTTGATTGCGATTAAAAGCGAATCCAATGTTGAGAAAGAAAGAGAATAAAAGTCGAAATTCTGACGGAATTTCCGGAAAATACATCAAAAAAGAGAATCCGCCCGAAATCCCGAGTGAGTGCCGCGAATCACGTGACCATTAGTGCTAATCCTTGTCTCTCTCGTAGTAATCAACGTCTGGACGATAAATAACAGACAAAAGAACCAAAACTCGCAGAAAAGCCAAAACATCTCCGGATCGCAGGCTTTGGGCAAGAATCGCGTGCTTTCCTCTCATTGGCTCTAATTGTCTTCTCATTATTCAGGCATCGACTGCTTGACCGCCACTTCCGGTCACTCGTTGGCCAAAACGCTGACTCAGAAATGTGCCAAAAGCGCCAACCATTCGCTCAATCATCACTCCTTCGCGCGGACGGCGCCCGTCGCCAACCACGTGACGCGCGACTCGCAGCACTCGCTCAACCACGTGACCAACGCCGCGTCCATCACGTCCACGCCCTCGTCCTCCACCTCATCCCTCGCCACCGCCAACCAGTGGCCGGAGTCTCACGTGCAGTGGAGAGGGGAGAAGGCGTGGATCTCTGTGCCGACGCTGCCGACAGAGCGCCCCCTGCCGGTCGACTCCCAAATCCGCTCCATGACGTGTCTGACGTCCACTAGTCGCGACTCCCAGCACTCCATCTACTCCAACGTCGCTGACGCCCCGCCCCTGCCCTCCGGCTGGACAGTGGACTTCACGCTGAGGGGAAGGAAGTACTTCGTGGACCACAACACGAAGACCACCCATTGGTCGCACCCATTGGAGTCGGAGGGGTTGCCGAGTGGGTGGGAGAGGATCGAGTCGGCGGCGCACGGCGTCTACTACGTCAACCACATCACCAGGGTCACCCAGTTGGAGCACCCCTGCGCGCCGCAGTACGCCCTGCGCTCCCCGCCACGGCCGCCAACTCTGCAGGAGCTGCCGGTGCCGCCGCAGCCGTCGCAGTTCGCGCAGTCGCACATCGTGCCGGCCAACCCCTACTTAACCGAAGAGATCCCGCAATGGCTGTACATCTACGCGAACGCGCCGCCCGAACACGACCACAAGCTCAAGGTATTGTTGTGGTGCAGTAGTAGTAATGTCTAACCCGTGTCGCCCTCTAGTGGGAACTGTTCCGCGTGTCTGAGTTGGACTGCTTCCAGGCCATGTTGAACCGTTTGCACCGCAAAGACATGGAAGACCTCGTGATGTCGTTCGAGCAGACGCGGCGCGCCCTCCAGCGGGAGATCGACAAACGATTGTAAATAAACTTATTTATTGTTCGCAATTCTCTGTTTCCGTTTCCGCAACAACTCCACCACCAGCGCCAGCTTCCGAAGCGTCGGCTGCGATTAGAGGGGATTAGGATTAGCGGATTGGGATTAGCGTTGGGATTACCTTCTGAGCGGACATCTCCTGAATGGAATCCAAATGCAAGTCGCAGATGGAGTGAATGAGCGCCAACTCGCGCGCCGGCGCTTCCGTGACGTGGGGCTCGCGTTGTGGCGACCAATGGGTGGCCGGCATCTGATTGGAGGACAAGTCGTCCAAATATTTGATCATTTTGGACTTGTTTTTGAGAATGAAGGGATTCACGATTTCCATCCACGGCTCCTGCAATGCAGAGGGGATTAGTACGGATTAGGATTAGCGGGGATTAGTGTTAGTGAGCGTTAGTGTCACCCGTTTGGAGTTGGGCGGCGGCGGAGGTTCGAAGCGATCGGCGGTTATAAAGATCGACTTTGTTAGAGAGTGAGAGTTAGCGTTAGGATTAGAGAGGATTAGGATTAAGGATTACTTTAGACCCGAACTCGACGAGATTGGCCAAATTCTGGACGCATTTCGCGATCAGAATCAATGTCCGCGACGCCGTGTCCGACGGGATCTCTGTAACAATGGACACGTGAGTCAATGAGCGCGACATTCAAATATTGCAAACCGGTGATGAGCGAGAAGTTGCGCGGATTCAAAATGGCGGGACAAATGAGGCGCAGAAAGACAAAGCCCGAGACCACGCGCGACCGCACCAGAATGTCTGCGGGCCACTTGCGCATGACGGCGCGCTGCAGACAGCCGCAGATGTAACGCAGTTGGGGCGGGCAGTGCGCGCCGTTCTGGAACACGTGGTCCACGAAGGCGTCCAGCACTTCCAGCAGATGTTCGGCGTTGTGACACGCGTCTTGGGGGGAGTCGAGGCGCGCGGGGTTCAATTCGCACGAGTTCTTCGAGTCGAGGATCTTGAGGATGGGCTCGAGAAGGGAGTGGCGGATGAATTGTTGCGACAAAGAGCGCGCGTACAGCTCTATGGTGGCAGAGGTCAGCGAGTTCGCGCGCATCAGCGTCGACACCTGTCAATGGGAAGGGGTTAGAGTCACGTGGCACGATGACGTCACACTCACGTCAGTCTCGGCGCCGATCTCGCGCTCGATCATGGCTTTGAGGAGTTCGCATTCCTTGCGCTCAAAGCGCGCCACTTTCAAGATGGCGGCCGCGAGGGGCTGGCGGTCACGTGAGCAGAAGTGTTCGCAGACGGCGATCACTTCCAAGTCGTCCGCCAGGAGGAGCAGGTCTTTGAGAGCGGAGTATTCGGAGAAGGAGAGAATGAGTTCTCGCGTGAGACGCACTCTGGCCAACAGTTGGCCCCAGGAGTCGCCGCGCGGCGTGAACGCGACGCCCGACAGCGGGAACCAGTCCTCCAACTCGGCGTTCGTGGCCAGGGAGGAGAGCGGGAGCGAGAGTTCTGCGATCTCGGTGTCCTTCTGGCGCTTGGCCTTGTTGTAGAGCGTGAAGGAGAAGTGCGTGACGTCAGCGGGAATGTCCTCCAGCTGGAACTCCTCCTCCCAGATGGGGTTCGGCGGGCACTTGACGGAAGTGCGCGCGCACTTCACACCGCCGTTGAACTGGATCTCGACGTAGGGGTTGGGCGCGCACTTCAGCGGCAGGTTCTGGCCTTCGATGAGGCAAATAAAAAGTGACCGCATCTCGCGCCACGTGACCTCCGCTGACGTCACGCTCTGCTGCGCGCACAGCGAGTGCACGGCGCGAACCCATTGGCGCGCGACGTCCGCCTCCTTCGCGCACAAGTAGTAAACCGTGGAAAGACTTGGCGGCCGCGAGGGGCTGGCGGTCACGTGAGCAGAAGTGTTCGCAGACGGCGATCACTTCCAAGTCGTCCGCCAGGAGGAGCAGGTCTTTGAGAGCGGAGTATTCGGAGAAGGAGAGAATGAGTTCCCGAGTCAAGCGCACTCTGGCCAACAGTTGGCCCCAGGAGTCGCCGCGCGGCGTGAACGCGACGCCCGACAGCGGGAACCAGTCCTCCAGCTCGGCGTTGGTGGCCAGGGAGGACAGGGGGAGCGAGAGTTCTGCGATCTCGGTGTCCTTCTGGCGCTTGGCCTTGTTGTAGAGCGTGAAGGAGAAGTGCGTGACGTCAGCGGGAATGTCCTCCAACTGGAACTCCTCCTCCCAGATGGGGTTCGGCGGGCACTTGACTGAAGTGCGCGCGCACTTCACACCGCCGTTGAACTGGATCTCGACGTAGGGGTTGGGCGCGCACTTCAGCGGCAGGTTCTGGCCTTCGATGAGGCAAATGAAGAGCGAGCGCATCTCGCGCCACGTGACCTCCGCTGACGTCACGCTCTGCTGCGCGCACAGCGAGTGCACGGCGCGAACCCATTGGCGCGCGACGTCCGCCTCCTTCGCGCACAAGTAGTAAACCGTGGAAAGACTGCGGGAGAGAGAGAGGGGTCAGAGGTCAGAGAAGAGATCACGTGACAGCCCTTACCAGGGGAGCGCGCGTTCCACGACTTGGAAGCAGTGTTGTTTGTCGAAGAGGGAGTCATGGCAACCGTACACATAGGAGTAGTTGAGGTCGACGATGCCCTTGGGACGCGTCCGCCGTTCGCCCGCGTAGTAGTAGAGCGCGCGGTCCTTCGAGTTGAGCGCGAACCACAGCTGTTTCCACTTCTTGTGCTTCTGGCTCTTCTTCAGCAGAAAGCCCGACACCGCGATGGCCGTGGTTTTGGCCGCCTCTCGCGACTCCCGCAGCGTCTGGTAGATGGCGTTCGAGTCGTCGTCGAGGCGCTCCTTCGTCACGTGACTCCAGCGGTGCTCTTCGAAGGCGTGCTTCTTGACGGCGCGCTCCAATCGGAAGCCCTCCACGATTTGCTCCAATTTGTAGCGCTGGATGACGTCATCGAGCGAGCGGAACACTCGGCCGCCCATCACGTAGCGCTCGCCGCGTCTCTCGATTCGGAATCTCTGCACAGAAGTTCCCAAATGGAAGAACAGCGAGTAATTGCCGGGAGAGTTGTCGGACGGCCGCACCAGGAACGCGCCGACGCCCGCTCTGGCCAAGCGCTCCACCGCTTCCTCTTTCGAGATCTTCGAGTGAAACCATTCGTGACTTTCGTTTTCATCGCAAGATTCGTCCAATTGTTCCAAAAGTTCGCCGAAAACCAAACCGTTTTCGAGCGTCCGATCGTTTGTACACCAGAGCCTACGCGAGACGACATGAGACGACAGTTCAGAAGACACTGTCGTCAGTGACGACACTTACCATCCATTCTGGAGGTCGTTGTGGACGACAAAGACGTCGCCCTTTTTGAACGACAATTCGTCTGAATCGGGGATTTTCGAGTACGGAAGGACTGCCACCAGACGTCTGACGGGTGCCGACGTCTCGACCACGGGTTCGGGCGGCGGCACCGGATTCTGGAGTCTTTCGCCTCTCAAGAGATCGGAAAAGTGGTAAAAAGTGATTAATTTCTGAAGACTCGGGAAGGCTTTGGAACCGATGTAGAAGTGTTGGCAGAAGTGCTGAACGCGGAAGTGATTGACGCCAGACTTGCGGCCGAGGAATGAGAGCACAAACCACTTCTGGTTCGACGCGCGCGACGACGACTCGCGCAGAAGGAAGCAGTCCTCGAGGCCCGAAGTGAGCAGTCGTTGTTCGGCCTCTCGGCGTTCGATGAGGCCGTGGAAAGCGGCCGAGAGGTCGGGAAGAGACGATTCTTCGCTCATTTCTTGTTTACATTCTATCGATCGACACGTAATTTGTGGGCGGATATAAAAAACGTCTTTTATTGCAATAAATAATAGAAAAATAAGTTAAGAGTTGTTGTCGTCGTTTGTGTCGCCGGACGACGACGAGAAGAACCATTCGGTGAATTTGCGCAACTGTTGGCTCGCGGTCTGCGACTCGAAGTGCAGTCTTTGGTTCTCTTCCTTCAACTGACGGATCGTTTCATTCAATCGTAACTTTTCTTTCG